TGCTGAAAAGGAGTCTCAGGTGGGTCTATGGGCTGGAGCAGGCCGGCAGTTTTCAGAGGTGGTGTTTTGCGCCTTTGACATTCGCGGCATGTCTTCACATAATGCTGTACCGATGCTAACAGCTTGGGCCAGTAATATTTCAGATGAATTCTGGCGAATGTCCGGCTGACACCTAAGTGACCCGAGCACGGTTCATCATGGCAAGCTTGTAATATTTCACGTCTCATGACTTGCGGCACAACGAGTAAGAACTTTTCTTTGTTGCTTCTGAAGTTCCTTTGTAGAGTACATTACCACGGAGGCAGAACGACGATAATGTTCTCCTAATACACGTGGAACTTGGGAGTCGTGCCCTTCGAGGAAATTTTATCAATGGGAGCAGTTCTGTGTCGGATCGGTTGCTGCTCGGCGATATCTGAAGCCTTCACAACACAAAGGAACGGAAAGTCGTCCTCTTCCGAAGAGGTAGAGTCCAGTGGCGAGCGTGATAAGCAATCAGCATCGCTGTGTTTTCTTCCCGACCTATATACAACTGTAATATCGTATTCTTGGAGCCTGAGGCTCCATCTCGCAAGTCGTCCCGACGGGTCTTTTAAGCTCGCCAGCCAGCAAAGTGAATGGTGGTCGCTGACGGCGCGGAACGGCCTGCCGTAGAGATATGGCCTGAACTTGCTAATCGCCATATAACTGCCAAGCACTCTTTTTCCGTTGCAGAATAGTTCTTTTCAGCTTTTGACAGGTGCGACTGGCATAGGCTATGACTTTCTCTTCTCCATTTTGCCATTGAGCTAATACCGCGCCGAGACCAAGATTACTTGCGTCTGTATGGACTTCCGTGTCCGCAGTTTCATCAAAATGTGCGAGGATCGGTGGGGCTTGTAACGGTTCTTTAGTTCCTCGAAAGCTCTCTCTTGTTCCTTATGCCAAACGAATGATTCTCCTCTTTTGTGAGTCTGGTCAGAGGTTCAGCAATTTTCGAGAAATTTTCTATAAATCGTCTGTAGTAAGCGCACAAGCCCAGAAATCGACGCACCTCCTTCTTGTCTCTCGGCTTGGGGAATCGCGCAACGGCCGCAGTTTTGTCCGGATCCGGGCCAACACCTTCAGCGCTGATCACATGACCGAGAAAACGAAGCTTTTCATATCCAAACTGACACTTTTCCGGTTTAATAGTCAAGCCGGCCGACTGGATGGCGTGAAGCACTGAACGTAGTCGTTCTATATGCTGTTCAAAGGTTGCAGAAAATACCACAACATCGTCCAAGTATACTAAACATGACTGCCATTTGAGACCCGATAGAACACTGTCCATCATGCGCTGGAATGTCGCCGGCGCACAACAAAGGCCGAATGGGAGTGCTTTAAATTCGTACAAGCCGTCCGGAGTTACGAAAGCCGTCTTTTCGCGGTCTCTTTCATCCACTTCAATTTGCCAATACCCGCTTTTTAAATCTAATGACGAGAAATATCTGGCATGCCGTAGGCGATCTAATGTATCATCGATACGTGGCAAGGGGTATACGTCGCGCTTGGTCACGCTGTTCAGTTTCCGGTAGTCAACGCAGAATCTCAACGTGTTGTCCTTTTTCCTCACAAGCACTACTGGCGATGCCCACGGACTGTTGGATGGTTGGATGACATCATCCTCCAGCATCTCTTGCACTTGACCCTTTATGACCTCTCGTTCTTTGGGTGAAACTCTGTACGGGTTTTGATGAACAGGTCTTGTTTGCTCGTCAGTTATTATTCGGTGTTTAACGATCTGCGTGCGACGTACTTTTGACGAGGTGGAGAAACACTCTGAGAAGTCTCTTATGAGGTCCTGTATGATTTGCCTTTCGCCTGATGATAGACTTCTATTTATTGAAACCGCAGCTCCGACATCATCCGTACTTCCCGAAGCAGGTGGTACTGACGTGAGGCCACACAAATCTGTCGCTGCAGTAAAGCTGTGCAGAAAGGCAATGGCAGTGTCTTTTGCAACATGCTGTATTGCATTTCCGAAGTTTGTGAGCAACACACTGGCGCACCCATCACGTAATTGAATGATGCCCCGGGCTACACAAATACCTTTCTTTAGTAGCAGCTCGACGTTGCTATCCGCTATGCCTTCGGAATCGGCAAATGTGTCATTTCTGACGCCAACCAGCACGCTGCATCGTGGTGGCACGGTTATGTCTTCGTCGATAACCCGCAATGCAGTGCTCTCTACCTCCTTCTCGTCTATGGCCAGCTTCGTCGAGAAGGAAACGCTAGAATTTTGTAGGTTGATTATGGCACCGTTCGCTAGCAAGAAATCCATCCCGAGAATTACGTCCCTTGAGCATTCCGGAAGCACAATAAACTCAGCCACGTAAGTAGCACCCTGAATTCCTATTCTCGCGGTACATCTTCCCACTGGTGTTATCCTGTGGTCCCCAGCCGTTCTTATTTGTGGACCACTCCACGGCGTCAAAACTTTCTTGAGATCCCTCGCGAACGCGTAGCTGACGACTGAATAATCCGCACCGGTATCGACTAAAACGCTCAATTCCCGCTCGTCCACCGTAACGCGCAAGTCCGAAGAAATTGATTCCTTACTTATCTTAGCCGTTCTTTTCTGCCTGTCGCTGCTACCCTCGGGTCTTGACGGAGGATCTTCGCCTTGTCGAACAACAGCGGCCTTGCCTCCACAGGTCGCTGGACTTAGTTTTCCTGCCGCGGGCTCGTTGAACGTCTTGGTGGACCTGAGAATGGGGAACTTGGACGCCGGGGGCTCGGTGATCGGTAACGTTTCGGCGCCGGTGACCTTGGCTGGTGCTGAAAACTAGCAGATGGGAGTTGCTGCCTTGACAGGTAATCTTCTATCTCCATGGGTCTTTCACCATTACGCGGGCATGGTGCGTTCACAGAAAACCCCCGCAGGCCGGCCCTCCGGTATGGGCACGTTCTGTAAAGATGTCCAGCCTCTCCGCAATGAAAGCAAAGCGGCGTCCAGTCGGGTGTGCGCCACACGTCGCTTTTTCGTGGTCTCAGCTCTCCGAGAAAGGGCGAGCCATGCGAAGCCGACGGGCGTGTACTGGGGGCTACGAAAGAAGCGTTGTGCACGGCAGGCTGGCGTAGAGCGTCCGCGTACGTTGGCATGCGACGTGTCTGCAGTGGTTGTTCCAGTCGAACAGGTTGCGGCTCAGGTTCCGGCTGAAGGATGGCGTGCCGGACTTCGTCACGAATGACGGCGGCGAGGGTCGAGACTGTTGGCATCACTTGTGGCTGCATCAACTTCTGAATCTCTTCCCTTACAATGGATCGCACCAGTTCTCTTAGCGTTTCACTGTTGTTACTTTGGCCTGCCGATAGGACGTCCACTGGTGCGCTACTGGCGTCTCGGTTGTAATGACGGGCACGCTGCTGTAGCGCCTTCTCTATGGTTGTTGCTTCGATGCGGAACTCGGCAACCGTGCGTGGTGGATTGCGAACTAACCCAGCAAACAAGTCCTGCTTGACTCCACGCATTAGGTGGCGCAGTTTCTTCTCTTCCGTCATGTTCGGATCAGCGCGTTTGAAGAGCCGGCACATGTCTTCGACATACATGCTGACACTCTCATTCGTGCGTTGACTCCTGGACTGGAGAGCGTTCTCTGCCTTCTCTCGGCGGTCGGTGCTGGCATACGCAGCGAGCAAGTGTTGTCGAAAATCTTCCCATGTTGTTATCACCGCTTCGTGATTTTCGAACCACACCTTCGCTGAATCCTGCAACGCAAAGTACACGCGTCCAAGTTTCCTTGTCTCATCCCAGGCATTGGTCCTTGCGACTCGCTCGAAATGTTCCAGCCAGTCTTCTACATCTTCGTGCGAGTCACCGTGGAAGGGCTCAGGCAGGCACGGTGGTGACACGATGAGCTCGGATGTAGAACCTGCGGTGGCCATCGTTGTGGGGTCGTTTGTAAAAGCTGCTTGCGTTGCTGGAGCAGTGGTGAGCGGTCCGAATTCAGGCGGGTCTCCTCGAAGACGACGGCTCGAACGCTGGTGTACAGGAGTCAATTCGCCAGGTTCCAGTCGTTGAGGGTCGGGGCTCCGCTCTCTTGCGCCTGAGGGACTTCCAATCATACCCGCACCTCCACCAGAATGTCACGTATTGCAAGAGGGTGACACAAACAATAGCTTTATTAAAGGGCGAACTTGTGCCCAGAAAAATAGGTAAATAACTGAGTCCGCTAAAGCGTTCCACACTAGCGTCTCTCTCGAACACCTTTTTTCACAACCCGTCGATCAGGCCACCGTCGCGAGCCCAAGCACGAGGAGCAATGACTCGCGTTGCTACAGCGCGCGCAGGTGCGCTACGTTGTAGACGCTTGCATAGCGTCTCGCTGGTTCTCCTGGTAGTTGTAGACGCTTGCATAGCGTCGCGCTGGTTCTCCTGGTAGAAGGCAGTCTCTGCGGCAATATTATGCACGAGGCAAAGATGATCCGTTATGCAGGGACCAGCTGAGCGGCGGCCACTCGTGCACCGTAAAGGCAATGCTCCTTCTTTTGCCCAGAGGAAAAGGAACAAAGTTGCGCTATTGATACGCTCGGAATCAGTCGATGCCAGCTACAACGCATAGATAATGCTGACCCCAGGTGACCGTCTCGGTAGACCTTGGTTAAGTATACGCCCAGGCCGTGCATATTTTGTGAGGACGCCCGATGCGCATTACTCCTGCGCAAGACAAAAACGCGTTGTGTGAGATACTTGTATATATGTTCGCGCTTGTATAAACTGTATACGTCAGGCGGAATATGAACACCATGCACATAGAACCTGTTGACGTTTTTTAAGAAAACGCGAAGACTCGCGTTGCCGTTCGCCACAATGACCTGAGGAATAAAGTGCTGGCGGCAGGCTTTCTGGGCAGAGGGCACCAGTCGCACTTTTTCTGTCAGTAACAGCTGGTGAGTAACCAACATCGACGCCCATTGCTGGATAAGGGCAAAAGCTACAATGAATTGTGTACGATGGTTTGCAAGTATCGTTACTTTTCTTTTTTTTTCTTTTTGATAGGAATGGACAGTAAAAGAGGGGTGATCAGGTATGTGATAGTAGCCGTTCAAAGTGGAGAGATTCGTTATACTATATTTGAAGGCTTTCATGCGCGTTACATAATGTTCTATTCGTGCGCTTAGAAGAAAGTAGTCGGTTCCCTGAAAGAGAAATAAAAAAAATAGGGAAGTCCGGCCGCTGGATGAAGAAAAACAGGCTAACAAAGCCTACTTACTGTTCGACTTAGCGTACTTTACAAGTGTGCTACCTTAAGAAAGATTTGCGTCTTTGAAATTTGGTCACACGCGTCTCGCATAGTGCCCCTTCCGAACTGATTTCCTTCGATGTTTCTGTTGATTGTGAGCACGTGTGCGGTTTATGAGAGGTCTGAAAAGCCTCAAATCTAGCCGTCCCATCATTTGCGTAACTCATGCTGAAATGAAATATATTGAAACTGGTAACATATCAAAGAAACATAGTTTTGTGACTAATAAAGTTTCTTTTTTATTATTTTTGTTAATTATAGTTGTATATTCATTTTGTTTCGTTAATATCCCATTAATGCAAAATTATGTAATACGTAACATGTGATGCCCTTTTGGCGCTAAGGCTACTGCGCTCATGTTCAAAAAAAATATGAACGTCGATCATACAAATGAGTGGCAAACAGCCAGTTGACCATATCGACGGCTGACTAAGTCAAAAGTGTCCGTAAGATATTGAGGGTCGTGCAGAGCTGTTTCGGGGTAAACGTGTTGATAACTCAATGCACAAGCTCACTCAAAATCCCGACACACTATTATTTCTGCTTTAGCAGTAATCGAGACCAAAGTACCTGCACGGCAACCACAGCCTCAACCACAGTGGAGCGCGGCAACACGACGTGGAAAGTAGACACATTGGCCGAAGATGGAGCTCGAACGCTTGTGCTCCTGCGAGCATTCTCGGAAGCCGAGACAAGCTTGGTCGTCCTTTAATGTCGGAGCGCGGCACACAGCAATGACACCCAAGCGTAACTTACCAAGGACGCGTCTGAACGTGTGTGCAAGAACCATCTGAGCCGGAGAGCGAACTAATGAAATCAGCTTTTGTTTTTGCTCATCCTTTGCGTCTGCACTACGCTGCGTTGAGTTTCATCGAGGCCACATTTGACGTCAGCCGAGTAGAAAGACAAGCGCGAGGGGAAGTCTTTTGTGTGTGTGTGTCGGTGGTGCGCGCGTGTGTGTTCGTGTGTAGGTGCAAATGCCGTCGAGTGTGGTCACGGCACGGATGTTCACGGAAAGTGCTTGTGGCTGCAGGCCGCGGCCCCATCCGCCGGCCTCGCGCCGTGGGATTCTCGTGGTTCTGCGGTTTCGGGGTGCGGAGGAGGCGAGGGGAGAGCTCCCGGCGTGATTTGTACCGTTCAGGACGTTGCGCTGAGGGCCCGTCGCCCGCACATCGGCCTTCTTCGGTGGCCAAGGCAGACGCGAGCAATGGGGTAGGCGCGAGAGAGGCCGGGGTGGGCAGTGGCGCTGCGAACTCACGCCCTCCGGCCGGCCAGCACGGCGGTCAGCAGCAGCAGTGGGGGCATCGAGAGCAGCGGTGATCGGCGACGGGCGGCGTTCGTGTTGCAGCCGTCGCCTTTGCAACACTCAAAACAGCTGTACGAGTCCTTGGAGCGGTCGCAAGTGTCCAGGCCCAAGCCCTGGCTCTGCTTCTCGTCGCGCAGGTTGCAGGGCCCCAGGGCGCATTTCTTCTCGATGAAGAAACCCTGCTGGGCTGCAAGGGAATGAGCGAGTGTCATGCCACTGATTCGAGGAACCACACAACGCCAGTCGACTTGAAAGCTCAGTGATTAGCGAAGACACGCTCTGAACATCCAGTTTCGCGGAACCTGGCGATATGTAGGAAACCTCATGAATAAGAAGCATTGTTGCCCTAAACTAGTACCCTTTAACCGTGCAAAACTTTCTTTACGAGAAACGGTCACCCGAGGCACCACTGCCCGTCCCGCCCGTTTTGTCGTCTTTGTGATAGCCATTGGCACATTCGGCTGGACGTTTGCGAGCGCTCTGAGATATGGCTGCGCCTTCGGTTGGTAGAATTTGAGCGATCGGCCTTCGTTCTGGTGGTTCTTTCGGAGCGTTAGCCTCTTACTCAGAGCGCTCCCGACTGCTTTGACTAGGTAGATAGGCCCCGCCTTGGTGGTCTTGTCGCTAAGATACTCGGTTACTGACCCGCAGGTCACGGGATCAAATACCGGCTGCAGCGGCTGCATTTTCGATGGAGGCAAAAATGCTGAGGCCCGTGTGCTCAGATTTGTGTGCACGTTAAAAAACTCCAGGCGGTCGAAGTTTCCGGAGCCCTCCACTACGGCGCCTCTCATAATCATATGGTGTTTTGGAACGTTAAACTCCACATATCAATCAATCAATAGGTGAGTAGCAAAACGGCACATCGTCTGGTATGGTTCTTCCGGGGTTTGAGGCCCATCCCTTCGCTGCTTCAAGGTGCCTGCTGCGCAGTGTAATCGGGGAAAAACACATGTAATTTGTGATGCGTGTGTGTCTATTTATTCAGTGATTATGTTTGTAAATCTTTTTTGCGAATAAATATATGCTATATCGTGTATTTCAGAGAATGAATTGAGTAGTGAAAATGGGCATACACGAAGAACGGTAAGCGGCAAGTTTCGATCACAGCATGCGGTGATACTTTAAAACATACGGTAATCTGTTGAGGATCCACCTTGATTTAGTATTCTCAAGCACAAACGCTGACCACTTCAAAATAACTCGTACATATGGGCAAATGCTGGCAAATGTTAACATACGTAGGATGACAACATAAGTACGCGTACTCTGCCCGCCCTGTATTTGCATTGAATATTCTGCATCGCCAACTGTTCGTAATATTGATGAGCACGTAAGAGGCCCGCGGGATCAAAGAGCCACTGTATTAATGGTAATGTGGGACGTAAAACGATCGAAGTCGCTTTTGAAGCAACGAGGAGCATGGAATGATGTCTCTATTATGTCAGAACTGCAAGCTTGAAGTGCCGATAGGCTGATTGATTTGATTGATACGTGGTGTTTAACGTCCCAAAACCACCATATGATTATGAGAGACGCCGTAGTGGAGAGCTTCGGAAATTTCTACCACCTGGGGTTCTTTAACGTGCACTCAAATCTGAGTACACGTGCCTACAGCATTTCCGCCTCCATCGGAAATGCAGCCGCCGCAGCCGGGATTCGATACCGCGACCTGCGGGTCAGCAGCCGAGTACCTTAGCCCCTAGACCACCACGGCGGGGCGGTGCCGACAGGCTGTGTTATGTATATTGAGTGCGGATATTTCGCATTGATTGCATTTAAACGCAATGTTTCAGTGCATGAGGGAACGACATTTGAAGTGAGATGGAAAGGCGTAACAAAAAAAAAAGAGAGCCAGAAAACTACAAACCCGCATTTCAGTTTTTTTGTAAGAAAGAGTTACTCTTGCCATTCACTGTATATCAAACCCGGGATGATATCTTTGCAACACAAAAATAAATAAATAATTTTACGAGTCAGCCACAGGAAAACAAATGGGCGGATATTTTGTGAGGCTAGGACATGCTGCAAAATCTTCGTATGAGACAAAACATGCGCGATAACACCCTTTGCTGCAAAAGAACAAGCATGTGTCTGGAGGTGCATACCGCTTGAGTGCAGATATGACCGCTCACCTAAGTATATCTATCTTAAAAGGACGGCATTTTTTATTCACCTAAACTGCATAGCGCTCCAGATTCGTGAGAAAAATGCACCGAGAGTACTGCGCGGAACACACAGAAAGCGGTGGCATTGGCAAGAATGCCCGTGCGGCGGCACGACACTTCGAACCGGAAGTCGATGCAGACGGGCGCCGTAGCTCATGCAGAATCCTTTGCGTGAGCCACGATTTTGCTATCCAAGTGTGGTGCAATATGACCCAGAGGACGAATCACGTGACACAAGCCGGCAAATCACGTGGCTTCCGGCCGGTGAACCAGGTGAACAGCGACAACAGCGCATTCCGAAAGAAGACATCGCCGGGTGCGCTACACCTCGTGCACGTGCGTTGTTAGCGGCGTTTTTGAGCGTGTGCGGCGAGAGTTCACATCTACGGAGCTTCAAATGCGCCATGTCAATTACTCGGCGGCTAGCGAAGAGAGAGCGAACGTCAATGCTCTCGATCGTAACAGCAGCTCGCATACGTGGCTTGCCTTGAAGATAACAGCTCGGACGACGGCGATTGCCAGATTTATGTGCTGAGCCCAGAAGGCTGTCACCGCGTCCAGACATGTCGGAGATGTCCAGTGAACTATAATCAGTGCCATTTGTGAACGCGGTGCAGGAATGTTTACCCAGCAGCTTCCCGTGCTGGCTGCACGGTGGCGCTGCTCTGTGAGATGCTCTGAGATTGCCGACGTATTCGGTTGGTTGCCTCCAAGGAGATTATACCACTAGTATAATCTCCTCGGTTGCCTCTCGCACTGGGATTGCGAGCTGCCTCGGAATCTGGCCACTCCAAGCCAGGGGACCGGAGCGGCCAACCGAATATGCCAGATGAGCATGCACCCATGCATACTTTACGTCACGACTCATGTATGGCGCGCGCTTCGTACCTCCGGCTGCGTTCTGGGTGTAGCAGTCGTTTCTACATTAGTTCTCCGAGTGTGCGCATAATGCAATATGCGAGAGGATTCACCCGTTGCGAGGCGCTATAGAACATATTTAAATATAAGAAGTTCTCTCGCAACAATGAGACTGCAGGAGCCTCGGAAAGCCCCTTGCAGCTAAAGAAGCATATCACTGCATATGATTGCTTTGAGCAACATGCTTTTTGGAATTATACTTGACTTGTTCGGGCATTATGTCAAGACAACCAGCGCCTCTTCTATTATTTAAATGCCAGCTAGATGCACCCGGTTTAGCCATGCACCTCCATCTCCTCTGGCCCTTTCGCCCATCGCATGTAGCCTTCGCGTGTGCTTTGCGGTCATGGGAGAGAGAACCCTTTATGTGGTGCCTCATGACGGAAATCATATGAAGTAATATTTTGCACAGTTTCGTACAGACCCATGGGCCGGCGTCTTGCATTTCTCGTGTTCACGATGTAGGTGTGTAGATGTTGGGGGAAAGCAAAATGAAGAGAAAATCACGTCGTTGTGAATTATAGTTTACAGCTGAAAGTACGTATACAGTGTTTCACAACTAAACAGTGAACGCTAAGCCAGGAATTGTGTTTTGTGCGAGTTAAACTTAGGAAGCGTCCTCTCTCAAATCTTCATGCTTCATATAGGTGTAGCATAGCGGAGACATATGTCTTCAGGAAGAGGTCAGGGGCGGAGGTTCATTGGAGCGCCCCTCCTTGTTGAAGTACGGTGAAGGCTGCTCCGCGCCTTCTCTTAGGTGACTATAGGAGCCCCGGCTCCCCCCTTGTGCGCACGCCTATATGAGCGGTGACGTATGCTGGCAGAGTTGTACACCGAAGTATGCCGCGGATCACATACAGGGTGCCCCAGCTATCTTTAGCCAGACTAAAAGTATGCCGACGCACGCAATGGCGACACGATTAAGTGCATGTTGCTGACTGTTGCCTGCAGTGAATCAGTCAACATTTTATGCTCTGATTATTTGCTTAATTAGACCACTTTATGTATTTAACTATCTTTTTAAGCAACGAAATTGGGCAAAAAATTCCAAAGAGGAAATTGTTCATCAGGTTCCGAAACGTCTGATTAGACAGTTTCGAGCTTTACATCTTATTTTTAGTGTTCTTATGCCAACTACAAATGTTAGCGAAATACAAAAAAATAATACCATGTGACAAGCCCGCTTGCACACCAGTGGGGACGATGATTTTAGTGCTCCCTAATGTTCCGCGTACGAACGACCATAGCGTTCTCCCCATTGTGCTGTCTCGACAGGGCCGCAACGATGGTGGTGGCTTGGCAATGAACACGTTTCGCTATCGGCCACAAAGGCGATAACCAATGTGACTCCTTATCGCTGTCATGAACCGGTGTCAGAGAAGTGTATCGTTCGCACGTTGAACGTTAGGAAGCACCAGAATCACGGTGCGCGTAAGCGCGTGAGTGGGTTTGTCACGTGGTATTGTTTTTGTATTTCGCGGGCATGTATGGTTAGCAAAAACACTAATTATTAACTGATATAAAGTTGGAACTCGTCTAATTGGATGTTTTGCAATTTATCTGCAACATTCTCATAGGAATATTCGAGCCAGCTTGATACTTTCAAAAGTTAGTTTATTGAAGGGGTCTAATTATACAGGTAATCTGATCACAAAAATACTCTGAGCCACTACAGGCAATGGTCAGTAACATGCAAGATTTGGGTGCACGTTATAGAACCCCTGGTGGTCGAAATTTCCGGAGCCCTCCACTACGGCGTCTCTCGTAATCATATGGTGGTTCTGGGACGTTAAACCCCACATATCAATCTAAGTCAGCAACATGCATTTGATCGCGTCTTTATGGAGTGTGGTGGCATATTTTAAAACTCTTGCTGAAGATAGCTGGGTAAATTGAGAGCTATGCTCTGACGGTAACTTCTTGCGCTGCGAACAAGCGCAGCGCAACAGAAACATATTGATGTGACGCACTGATAAAAAAAAATCCTCTGTAAAAAATGCTTTGACCAACATATTCACACCAATGGACAGCTGCCGTACATAGTCGGCTATTATTAAAAAAATGTTCGCGTGTTTCGAGAAGCACAGTGTCAAAAGATGCCAACTAGCGCCTAAATCTGCTGGTATGCCAGCATATAACTCGACACTTTTCCACGCTAATACACCTCTCCTGCATTCTAAGTCTAATTTTTTGCAGAAAAGAACGCATAGAACTATCATTTGAGCCAAGCAGCACACGCACGGGTGGCAAAATGAGCAGCAGTCTTTTGCCCGTCTGCTGAATAGAGCCAAGGGGCGGTGTTGCTGAGCCATACTTTTCTGCACCGTGCGTATGCGCCACTCTGTAAAACTGCATGGTACCGATCACGGTTGCCATTAGGTGGAATAGAAAAAATGCCAGAACTCAAGCCAAATGCAGTCAAAGTAATATCTATGTCATTTAATATTATCCCCAAATTAGTAGCCAAATAAAACAGGAGTGGTAATATAAACAGAGCCTTTGCTAATGATGAGCAAATAAAACTTGTTTGAATAAAAGAAACCACAAATTTACGAGTAGCCAGTAAATAGTTATGGTAATAACTAAAAAAAATTTGTCGCCAAACAGCTCTAAAAGTAGCCAACTTGGTGCAAAGTAGCCACCAACGGCAACGCTGGTACCGATCCGCAATGGAGTGTGCCCTCCATGTCACGCGAACACTTCTTACCATTCTTGACGACCATGGTCATGCAGACGTCGTATGCCTGGTCCGTGGGGCAAGTCTTGAGGTAGCCATCGTGGCAGTCCTCGTTGTTGGCCACTCGACACTGGTAGCAGCGGAAGGATGGCGTCCCCGACGCTCGCGACCCTGGAACAATAAAGACGCGAGATGCTTTATGGTGTTGAACTTGCCAAAGTAACTCAGGCTGTGGAAGACACCGTATAGTGAAGGGCTCTGGCTACTTCAGGCCACACTGACAGCGCATATGTGGGTCTCCAGCATTCCGCCTGTGTTGAAATGCGACCACCGTGACGCTACAGCAGTACAGGGAGCTTGCATGAACGGCGGCGACGCTATGAATTCTGGGTAGGCAGCCATTTTTTTTTTGTCAAGCGGCTGGAGAGTCCAGCAGAGCAGTCGTGTTTGCGAGCGTTGGCGTAGCTTGCAGGCGCGATCGAGTGCGAGCGCGACGCGAATTTGACTCCCAAGAAGTGTCGTGCACGATGTCAGCCTCACCGGAAGACTACACCGCAATGCTGTGCCAGAAAGACCTTGAGCGGTACGAAGAGACGAGAATTTGCTACGAGTGGACCCATTCACGCTTCGTGCGGGCGACTGTGTAAGCGACGTGCACTTGCGACCGCGCGTCGACAGCTCCAATATTCACGAATTTCTCGTTCTGAGGACGAGTTTGAAAACCCGGGAGCAGATGAAGCCCAGAAAGGCCCTCGAGGGTCACAAATTTGTGAAGAGTGGCCGGCTGCGGGAGCCGTGAGTGAAGGAAGTCGCCGCCGACACCATGGTCGTAGTCACTCAAGTAAGACGTGTTCAATTGAGGAGAGCTCTTATCGTGCACGTGCGTCGTACTTCACGTAGAATAACAGCGCAGTGGTATGCGAGCAGGCTTCGCTGTTCCCGGCCATGCATGTGCAGTGCGCGGCAAGGACCTCACCATCACTCTTGCCCATGAACAAGACGTTGACGAGGGGCTTGTTAACACACTGAGAGTTTTACCTGAACAGAAAAACGTTAGCATCTACGGCAAAATCAATTTAACACTTCTTACTTGAGTGACGACAATCACGGTATCGGCGGCGAATTTCCTCACCCACGGCTCCTACAACCAGCCACTTGTCACAAACTTGTGGCCCTTGATTGCCTTTCTCGACTACAACAGCTCGCGGGTAATAAACTCGCCCTCGAAACGAGAAACCCGTGAATATCGGGAGCTGTCGACGTGCGGCCGCAAATGCACGGCGCTTACACAGTCACCCACACGAAGCGAGAATGGGTCCATTCAGAGCAAACTCTCTTCTCTTGTCCGCACCGCACAAGGTATTTCTGGCACAGCGTTGCGGTGTAGCCTTCTGGTTAGGCTGACATCGTGCAAGACCTTTCTTGGAGTTAAACTTGCGTCGCGCTCGCACTAGATTACGCCTGAAAGCTATGCCAACGCTTGCAAACACGACTGCGTTGCTGCATCCCCCACCACCTCTGACAAAAAATGGCTGCCTACCCAGAGTGCATAGCGTCGCCGCCGTTCATGCAACCTCCCTATAACAAAAAGCTTTGAAGACATAAAAGCGCTCCTTATGAAGCTAAGAGAAGCAAATGAAAAATCTTGTATCTTGCTAAAGATGAAGGTATGACCATACGCAGAGTACAGAACATTCGGATAAGTAACAGCATGGTAGACGTTTTAGAGCATGACGTTTTTTAAGGGTTCAGAATTGATGTAGAAGGTGGCCATATAGGAGTAATACAGTGAACTCACACGAGAAAATCAGAAAGCTTTAATTTCATTTCTCTTGCGTCGAAGCAACATTCCCGACTGATTCCGCATGTTCAGCGCAGGAATATTGGTTTTGAGGGCTGACATCGTTCTTTTTCAATATGTGAAAATCCACCCTTCAAATTCTTTCGTAATATAATATTGTAACAGGCAAACAACATGGCGCCATGCTCGTAGAGTCTCTCAACGTCGTCTTCTTTCCGGTCCTCTTCGCCGTCCTTGTCTGCCCGTTACAATATTATATTAGAAGAGAAATTAAAAGGTGGATACACGCGAAAAATGAGATATCCTCATCTTTTCTGCGGAGCGAACGTCGCCTTTCTTGCCACTAGAAAACGTGTTTTTGTCATACCACAATACCTTTCTGATTGATGGCTACGTATGCACTATAGCTTCTGAGTGGTGCTCTCCGCATAGCTGTGGCCTCCAGCTTCAACCACTTATGCAGGGCATAACGTGCATTGACCATACGCGCAGACACCAGGAAACAAAACATATGACGACCTATTGCATTTTATACATACGAGGCCTGTGCGAGAAGCTGGCCACAGCATATACATCGCCGGCGTCGCCGTCCGCTTTTCCTGGCGAGAAAATTGACTCTGTTATCGCATGCTCAGCTGAAGAAAAATGAGAGCAAAACGTTCGGCCAGCCTTTTATAACCTTCCATGTATACCTCAATTTGGTAAAGTGCTGCCCCGAATTCGTTGTCTAAATGTGAGCAGTCGTCGGGCGCGTGGCAGAACACCCGGAAACAATAAAGCCTGCCCGCTATGCACGGCATAAACGAGAATTTAGCGGAACGCCAGTTTCGGTCTCCTTCGGTAACTGGAGGAGTGAAGCTCGCGAAAGATAGCGCACAATATGCGGACGTATCGGGAGTCTGGTGCGAGCTCTTGCTTTTAGAAACGGCAACACTAAACATTGTAGGAAACAGGTAAATAAAAGAAAAACAAAAGAAACAGGTTGACCCTATGAGAAAAAGGTTAAAAAAACTGTGTTGGATCGATATGATACAGCTGCATTTTTTTGTCATGACGAAACTATCTACCTGGTCCAGAGAAATACCCAAATGCCTGCAACCTATTGAATGCCGTATTTGTTGTGATGATTATATTCATTTTTATTGTCCGCGTGATGAAAAAACTTTGACACTGGGATATCAGAATACAGAATAAAATTCGGGGAATCTCTGTCGCAGCTAGCTCCCAAACTAAGTGGCGCAAGTATCCAGGGGGTTCTCGCATCGTGGGCTCCTAATCATTACGATATTAAGTAAAAATACTTTAAATTTCATACCATCCTTACTTTTATTGTGTGTTGGTTTCATTAGGTTGTATCTTAAAAAAAAGAGCCCTTCATCCATTCGTGTTTTTCGGTTAAAGATGAGAGGAGAAATTCATGTTTAAACATCGGTGGTATATAGTCTCAGATGCCTGTTTTCCGAAATTGTTGCATTTATGGATATCTTTTAAAACATTACTTATTCCATCTTCCCAACCACGTGCGTTTAGAATGTCTCACAAGTATTCTTGCATGGCAATTGTATTCTTGTATCACAAGTATTCTTGTATGGTACTCCTGATATGAAGGAAGGTCAGCCACATGGGATTGTGTTCATTTTCTGCCATTTCCATTACTGGATTGCGTAAATGGAAAATATTGCCCCTTAACTGTCTTCGCATTCAGAACTGATAACTTGTATCCCGAACCTGGAAACCACTGACGTCACTTTTATAGCATGGTAGTTGTTTACGCCAGCTTTGCCCCTTGACCTTACATATAATACTCGCCCTGCTCGTCTCCAATCATTGGGGGCTTTACCATTCATTATTGTTTTCCTCACAGCTTGCCTTTGTGTTTGCTTAGATTTTGGACCGAATATTTTTATTGACATATAGGATGTCTTCAGAACCTGTCAATGATCTAAAAAGAACCCTCTTATCTACCTTTTTCCACACTTGTTGTCATTGTTCAAGCGAAGCCACTGCGCTAATTGGCCTATCCACTCTGATAATATATATATATATATATATATATATATATATATATATATATATATATAATCAGAGTGGATTAGGCTTACTTTGTGTGGTTTAACATCACATATGCGGCGTTGTGGAGGGCTCCGGATAATTTCCGTCATCTGGTGTGGTCACACAAGGACAGAAATAACATGGTTGGCAACATGAACCTAGCCTTTTGCTTCCATATATGATGTGACCGCCACGATCTTGATTGAACCTGCTACTTTCGGGCCAGCATTCACGTAGCGTAACCACGGCACTATTACAATCGGCGGTCAGAGTGAGGTCTGTTTAACCTGCATGTCCACCTAATGAGAGACCACTATAATTTTTCGACTTCCGCCGAAAGGCGATGTGGTGTACCGCGTTATTGCACTACTGCACAGAAAAAAAAAGCAACGGTATACAGAAGTGCACGTGATTCAGTTGTGATAAACTTCGTGGTCACCCTTCGCAACCATGGCTGTCATTCGCAACCTTATCCGAGCAAGTGTGACCGCTTTTTACAAGTGTCCTTATCACACCTCCAATGGCAATGCAAGTTGTCTACACTATGACAAGACGGCCAAGGCGTGGAGCCTCGTCGAACGCACCTCACCTCCTTGAGTCAGGCTTGAAAAGAAAAGTGTGATACATTCGCCGAGCAGTGCGAAACATCCGGAGAAATGCCGGTAGTGCCTGCTTTCACCTCAACACTTGCGGTTTGAGTACGATGTAAGAATATTCACGCGTTGACACTGCACCCGCCTGAGCGCCCAAAGTGTCTCAATAAGCGTACATAGATTGGGTTATTAGGGTAAAAATTGGGGGACCCTTAAGCTTCGCCTTCAAAGGGGCCCTGTAACACTTTTTTGAGAATGTTCAGAAAACGCTGCCGATCGGTAGTAGAGACTCCCGACAACACGCGAGCCAAATATTATAGCACAGCACGCGGCCTAAAGATCAGAAATAAGGCGACAAAGGCATTTCTACATAAAGCAGGCTTCTTTGGTGCTTCAAGTAGCACCTAAACCGCAACTCCGCGTGACATGCGGTTGAAATCATGTTCATTGAAAAATGCTTAGCGCAGACATGGACGGTATATATTAGAGCTCCATTTGCCATGAGAATTGGCCGGCACCACTGACCCACAGGATCACTGTCGGACGGCACTTTGAAAACAGGCACATGCTCTACACAAGTCCGATAGCCAGGAGGGCAGTTCGCCACAAAACATGTTCTACCTATTTCAGACGCCCTCCAGCATTTCAATGACACCTCTTTTTATGCAAGAGCATAAAATGCACGTGATCAAAAAGCCTGTCTTCAAGGCAGTGTGGCACTAGCG